AGATCCATGCTGTTCGCTTATCAGTTTCTCTTCTTGTAATAGAGTTGGTAAAGCGAACAACATGAATCCTGATCAGACTGCGCGGATGCGCAGGCTGGTCTGGATCCATGCTGGTCGCAAACGCACTATTTGGTTTTGTCGAGGCGCGGCTCATATGTAAATCAAAGTCTTAGAGTAAGGTATCGTATCTTGGTTTCTAAACATATTTATTGCATATATTGTAATCATACATTATACATACATTTCATAACCATACTAACATAATAAACGCAATGGATTTTGATGGAAGCACTAGGTGCTTATTAAAGTCAATCTCCATAATTGATAAATTACAATAAAACTAATACATGGCTGATAGATGAGCATATAACAAATGTGTACCACAACCGCTTCTATTGATGGTATACAAAATATTTTTGAAAAAAAAAAATCACAAAACTAAGTTATGTGGTTAGGCACTTGTAATATTAGTAATTGATAGATATTTTAGTATAATATATTAATATAGAGAAAAAATAAAGAAAGAGAAAATGAAAAAGGAAGATTAAGATGAAAACCAACGTTTAGCGTATCTTCAAACACATTGAGGCAATTAAAAATGATTTCGTTAAAAAACAACAGTCTATTTCGGAAATTTATAACTCATTTTAGCAAGTATAAGTATAGTATAAGTGTCCCGGTCTTTTAAAAATGGCGATAATTATCACTTAAGAGACCAGCGAAATTTAAGCCATACGAAATTTAGTACTAAATTTCGCCCTTTAGATAATTGTCGCGTGTTTACTAGACATATAGGACACCGTACGGTTTCTTATGTTTGAAGATACAAATGCTGGTCTTGTTTGATAGGGTCTTTGTGTGGTGCAATTATTGTTTTATACAGATATAATACAACATACATCTGTCTATATGTTCATCAGCAATTCATTCCATAATGATCTTGAATTTTATATGTCTATCTTACAACAAATATGACCATCGTTCAAATGTTCGTACGACAGCGGCAACGTCAGTGACATGATATAACTGTAGCAATAGCTAGACTTTTTTAAGCCAAAGATAACGGGAGAATTTTGTGGGGGTCAATACTGTCCGCGCAGGTAATTTTTTCAACATCATTTTTCTTCGTGGAAGTCATTTTACTCTGACTGGAGGTCATCATAGTATGACCAGAGGATCAGCTAGTATTCTTTTATATAAAAATTGACTGTGGTATCATAATTCTTAAGGTGTCTCTTACTTTCATTACACCGGCAATTGGCTGAATCATCGTACAATTTTTAGCTCAGACAGAAAATTTCGTGTGTCACATTGCAAATGTAATGAAAGCAAGTGTAAGAGGTCGGTCAACACAAGAGTCATAAATGAATAATCTAAAATACAAATTATCTTTTAGAGGTCCAAAATGTCCCAAAATGTTGTTGTTTTTTTTGTTGTTTTTTTTGTTTTTTTTTCATAAACGATATTTATTTTTGGTATCCTAATAAAGTTTATAAGCACTTCACCTGAACTATGTTTTGCTTCTGTTGCATTTTTTGGAATGAGTACAGACATAGTGAATTAGTATTTTGCTTGGAAGTTAAAATAGTGCTTTGTTTATATTTTCCTGTTTTTAAGACAAATAAAAGCTCACTGTACTCTCTTCAGGTAACAAGTATCTAACATGTTCTAAAACCAGTATTTGAACGTTCTTAAACTCGTGTATGTCATTTTGAAATGGACTCTCCGAGGTTTATTGACATGATGCGACTGAAAATATTTTTCCAGATAAATGTACCATTTTATGTAGGTTTAGACCACTAATCTTTGTGCAAAATTTCAGATAATTCGCGCTATTCGTTTTTCCAGTATAATTATTCAAATTGTTAAAAATGACCCAAAATGAAAAGCGTTTAAACGCTTTTCACTCAAATCAGGCTAAGAAAAGCATAGAAATACGATTTTCAATTTATTTCAAAGTATATGTTTAACTATCTTTGCATATATTTCTGTTTAAAGTTCCCCAGCTCATTATGTAAGAAATTCAAATATATGGTTTAAACCTCAGTGGAGTCCCTTTAGAGAAGAAAACATCAATTCGTTTCTGAGGCATGATGTGCCTTTAACAACGAACGACTATATATCAAGAAAACACATAAAATATGTATTTATTTCTGTATTTATTCAAGTACAAATGACAAACATAATATTATACATGTAATTCTTTCAGTAATTAGAACATGACTTTATTAAACTTCTTGATAAAATTTACTAAACTGCGTACCAGTATATTCAGACCTGAATAAAAGGAAGGCAGACAATTAATAGCATTATTAAATTTATTAATATCAGGCTTCTTTAACATTTTAATTGGTTTTGACTAGCGTTCTTTGGCCGAAAAATTCGTACAAAAACTTAATTGCGCTTATGAAATTGAGTTAGGGACTTGTCAGGAGCTCATTTCGTAATGGTCGAATGTATTCTTCCTCTTTCACTCGATTAACAGCAAAAAAGAAAGAATTGATCGTATTCGTTTGTCTATAACATTCTATAACGCATATTAATAATTATTAAAAAAACATAATTTTTTCTGCTGGATATTATTGTTCAGTGTATTATAAACGGCTAGATTTTTCTTTCTCCGAAAGATTATGGTAACTCATTGTGGCCGTAGCTGACAAATCAGCACCGTTCCACATTTCAAAATAATATGCATCCTTGGTGACGTCATCTTCCCATGATTCAACAGTCAAAATGTCCCCTAGATTACACTCTTTTAAATATGTTATTTGCAATTTCCTAAGCCCTATCTCGTAAACATTGAAGTCGGCGCCATATTTTCCAGAAAGAACATTTTCGCAAAAACTGTTGTAACAAAATCGGACGTATACTGTGAAATTCATATGCTTGTTTTCGTCCGTGTCACTGAAATACACTCGATGTTTGGAAATAAACACATTTTCTTTTGGCTTTAATGGGAGTTTGAATTCACTTTTTTGTCCGTCTGTTGGAAAGTTATAATGCTCACTCCACCATGTAGGAAATGGTTTTGGTTTTCTCGTTTCTGGGTCCATATTAACATCAACACCAGACATTTTGGCGTACGGTCTTGTAATTTCCGCGTGCCGCAGAATATTTTCCACAAGTCGCGACGACCTTTTCACATATTTGAAAGTGCTGTCAATGATTAAAGGGAATTTCGGCGTATCCGTTCTATACATCGCTTCGTCAATTTCTAGTTCTAAGTTCAACGAATAAATGACACTCTCATGATGCGACCCTTGTGGATCATCTTGAAATGGCCAGAAATCATTGAGATCACATGATTCGAACAATTTTAACAACGACCAAGGGAGAATTTTTTCTCCTGGAAAAGAAAACAAACAATTGAGCTAACATGCTTGCAAAGTTTAACAATTTTCGTGGGTAAAGTAAAATTTCGTATGGTATTATATTATGAAATTGATATACATGTAATATGTTATTATATTGATATGATATAATAAAATTATTGGAGGAAGACCTCAGGTGCCCCTCTGTAATTTATTTCAGGTACAAGCGGCATCTGAGTAGAACCACCGACGTTCCGTAAGCTAGCTGGATAGCTTTCTCACATGAAGAATCTGAATCGAACTTACAGAGGTGAGAGGCAAGTGGTTGGAACTCAACGACCTTAACCACTCGGCCTCGGACGCCCCTTCCCCCTCCACCTAAATTAGAAAACGCGAAAACAAAACTGAGCAAACTTGCAAATACTGAATAAGTTACATAATCAAAAAGTATAAATACTATAAAGCCAGGTTAACACATATTTATGAATATGCATCGATTAATTTCAAGACATTTTAACTTTTCAATTCTAACATTAACCTGAGCAATCAAGTCCTTCATACGACAGTGTAGGTATAATTACTCTAGCTAGGTTTGGATGAGGAAACTCCCTTTTATACCCGAGCTGCTTCTTCAGAATCCCGACGGGCCGTCTAAAAAATGGATGAAGTTTATTAGTGCTGTGGGGGTGCGAATGTTCAGCTATGTTACAAGTATATTTCTTATTTGTAATTGTAGAGTAATATATACTTTTATTTTAATTCCTACGCAACAAAATGAAACTAAGAAAAAACTGTGTTGGAAGTTTCTTTTTTATTAAAGTACTTATACAAAAGTACAAAAGAATAGGAAAATGTTTCATAAATGTACAAGTAAAAACGTTATTAATGAATTAATATGAATAAACTATTTAACTTCATGATCAAAGATTTACAAATATTATACAAATACAATATATAAAAGGTATTCAACCATAGCATTTAGTTAAACCTTTAAAGATGATGAAATTTTTTCGTGAACTTTTTCCAGATTTTTTGATCATTTATGATATGTCGTTCCATTGTCTTAATATTTTAATGAAGCTACATGTAGTTTATATCTATTCATGTAGTTTAGTAATTCGTATTATTTGTGAATAGTTATAATAGTTTGTTTTCTAGTCACCAACGCCTGCCTAATTATTTACTGAAACTTTATTATTCTAACAGTTTATCTCTGTCGAACTTTTTCCAAAACCTTCATTGCCATTTAAAGAGATGAACTTGACTCTGTCTAAGACTTTTTTACTTTAAATTAAAGCTTTAACCAAAATTGCTAGCGATGCCGGTTATGGAAATTGTCCTTTATATCCGAAGTCTTTCGGAAAGGCTCGAACGGTTGCAATTAATGTGAGAGAAAGACTACAAATATGCATAATTATGCTAGAACAGACGTGGACCAAAGTTTTGAGAAAGACGATTACTAACCATGAGGAGAAATGACTTCATACCATTAGGACAAGGGATAAAGGCGACAATTATATGATCATTTCATAGTTTTAAATCATGGTTTATTTTCGGGATTTCTTTTAAAATCATTAAGATATAAAATATATTTGGCCCGGGCGATTTTTTTAAATGTTAAAAGGTTTAAAATCGAAAAAAATTTAAAATTGACGATAGCCCATTCTTGGACCTGGGGGCAATATACATTTGTACTTTTAAAAAATAGTTCATGAAATATGCTACGCTACAAAATCTAATCAATTTAAAGGTCACATATATGTCTACATGTACATATGCACATTGTAATTGTTTATAAGCGTAAAAGAAATGATAAAAACGTACTCAATAAACGACTTCTTTCCCTTAGTATCCTTTTTGGCCTCCATAATAATCATGAACTTTGTACCGTATACATATACATTGAGGTTCACCTACTCTTTTCCATCCGCCGTAAACAACTACATCAATCGGAACATTCGGCTTTTATTCCTAATAGTTCTTTATAAAGGGCCGAAAAGTTGCGCATAATACAATTACTTATAATATGCTCGTATCTTGTGACCGTATAACATGTATGCATGTTGTAGCATATAATGTTTTGATTAAATTAATGTATAGACTATAATATTAGAATAGAAGAAATACATGCTTAAAACTTATGCAAGTTGAAAGCGGAGCACTTATATTTTATGCTAGAATAAATGTTTCGTTAAAGAGTATAACTCACCTAACTAATCGAATGCCAGAGAAGTGAAGAAAAGAAATAAAGAATGGTTGTCAAGAAAATATTGTGCTAGATATAAACAACAAGAATCGTTGTAGGCACTGTAGTATTTAAACAATACGTGGTGATTTAAGAGGATCGTCCCTTGTAATATTTAATACCGAGTCTGGCGGTAATTCGTCAAAAATGGCATTGCCTTTTTCATGTTATTTTTTTACTATTATTGTGAAACTAACTAAATGAACAAACTTGAGCAAGAACCAAAAACAATAATACATAATCAAATGTTTGTGTCTCGGCAGATCTAAATTTTTTAAGGAGTTTAATTAGGGGTCCCCTTTTAAACTTTATTTAAAAAAAAAACAAAATTTAAATTATCAGTTTTCTTTTTCTTTAAATCTTCTGCTTTAAAACTAAAACAAAACTGTTTTTACAGGGATAATTTTTTACTTTAAATTTAAGGGGAAAACCCCATTTCAATTTTTAAGAGCCATTTATTCTATTATTCCACATAAGAATCTTAAAGTCCAAGGTCAGAGAAAGGTATTCAAGTATTGGACCATGAATTGACAACTTTAAACTTTCATTTGTTGACCACCAAAAGCGTGAAGACAAAATGATCATAAATAAAGTTGACATGAAAATGTTTTCAACTTTTACGACACTGCGACCTTAACCTTTGACCTTTTGATATCATAACAATGCAGAAGAGGTAAAAGTGGACCAGCCTGTGAAGTTTGAAGAAACTCAAAAGTTATTTAGATGAAACAGATGACAAATTTTCAACAACTAATAAAACAAACAAAATACCATTCAAATTTTACAATACCGGTCCCTACAACATACTCTTCGTGCTTCATGCAGGGGATTAAACTTGTTTGAGAAAACTGAGCGGACTTAATTGGGTGTAAATTTTTAAGCAAGGGAATATCAGTAAAAAAGTATATAAATCAACTTCTTAGATGTTATTCATAACTAGGAAACATAATTATAAGCACGTGAGCGTGAAGTTCGTGATTTTCATCTCATAACATCCGAATACATGACACTGATTTTTTTATCTAAATGAAATTTAAATTTTAAAGCTGCACGCCTCCAGATGAGCAAAAATATTTCGATAAAATCAAACCTGAGAAAAAAGTACTAAGATTTTAGGAAAAGTATAAATATTAAAAATTCTAGTAATAATTTGCATGTTCTGTGCGATTTATGACCATTTTATCGGTATTTATAAATATATTTCTACTGCGTTACTAACGCAGTAAGGGCTTTTTTGCATATTTTGACCTCTTTAATGTAATTAACGTGGGTTTGAAGTGTCATTGATAATGTGTAAATTGCATTCTTTTGGTTACTTAACGATATTGTACTGTTGAATATATTTTCAAATTTTCATGAAAATTAGCATGAATCTGGAGGCGTGCTGCATCCAGAAAAGTCACTAAGTTGGCTTTCGCCATGTACATGTAATTGGAAATATACCAGTTATCAATCAAACCAGACTTGATCTAAAAAAAAAATAGCAAAAAAAAACAAAATTTGTATATTTAGTCGCCCCATGGCGAAAGTTTGTAACATATGCAGAATGTTGGAGCGTAATACGTGTGAAATGACTATCCATAAAGGCTTATCATAGCAAAGGTCTAAAAATATGAGATACTGAAATGAGCCGCGTCACGACAAAACCAACATAATGGGTTTGCGACCAGCATGGATCCAGACCAGCCTGCGCATCCGCGCAGTCTGATCAGGATCCATGCTGTTCGCTTACCAACTCTTTTACAAGTAGAGAAACTGATACCGAACAGCATGGATCCTGATCAGACTGCGCGGATGCGCAGGCTGGTCTGGATCCATGTTGGTCGCAAAGGCACTATGTTGGTTTTGTCGTGACGCGGCTCAAATGGAACCTACTTTCATTAATTAGCTATATGTATTTACAAAGATATATCGCAATCTTTGTCTTATCTCATTTTCAGGCTTGTCACAACAATGTTTTACGTACCCAAAATTTAGGGGTTTGTGTTCTTGTTAGCGTTCGGGGCAATTTCTTAAAATAAGGGAAAAAATTTGCCATTTTTAATTTGTATATTTTCACGGGAATTTTGGGTTTGTTTGTTTTTATCTTTTAAACTAAATCTGAAAGATTTTAATTGATTTTTCCTTTATCACAGTGGGCCCAAAAACCCCTGACTTTTTTTGATCTGCGGGGGGTTTAAAAACCAATACAAAAGGCCATCATAACTTTTTTATATTTCTTTTTTTTCATAACTTTTATTTAATTTAATTTAAATGTATACCCTTTTTTTATTAATTTTTAGTACGTTTTTTTAAAAAAAGCGTTTTTGGGAGGGGGTGAAACAGCCCTGTTTTTAACAATTAAAAATTTTACTTTTAAAAAAAAAATTACTGATTTTTTTTCTAAAATTTAAAAAATTTTTTATATGTGAGCAACCTCTACACATACATACTATTCCCATACAAATAATGAAACATTACAAGAGTATGAAGAAAATAATACATGAACCTTCTTTTACATTTGTTTTCTGCCTTACATACGAAGATCACAATTAAGTGTCACTTGATTAGGCATCGTTCTTGCTGAATTCATAGCAGTTTTAAATGTAAACCAATCCCTTTCATTCGTGATTTATTCGAAGCTTTGAAGCACAATGCATATACAGATTACCTGTACTTTCATATTTAATCGACGGAGATAAGACTCATGCTGTGATTTGATACTCCCTCACCGAACCACCCCTACCTCTAATAATAATAATTATTTTAATAGTATTGGTATGAATACTAAATGTTGGCTTTCATCTATAATTTTAGGGATTGTAACAGGAATTGGGAGAGGGGTGGTGATATGAGGGTCGCGGGGGCTTGGGTGGTAGTATCAGATCACAGCGTCTTACCCCTGTGATCAAATCTACATATTGTATGCTGCAATTGTTTGTAATGTATGTAATGTACAAAATGTTACATTTCTAAGCGATATTTAAGTAAATCAGAGCTGGGGCGTATGGAGGGCGATCGTTGCCAAAATTCCAGACATGTAATGTGTTCCTTTTGAAAACTACTTTTGAAAATGCGAACATGTATGTCTAGCATTTTTTATTGCATTCGTGCACAGCAAATGATATGCCGCTTAATCCAATCTTTTAAATGAAGGCACCCGCTTTTAAATAACACGCTTACATGTAAATCTTAACAACTGACCTAACATGGAGAACAACCACACATTTACAAGTTCGTATCTACCATTGCATATAATACATAAGCATGTTTACACACTTGTAGATATATATCTGTACCTGAAAAACACAAATGAAATGTAAAACTCGAATGCAGAAAATATAATTTAATAAAACGTGTTCCAGTCGTAGAACTACAACAGTACGTTTACACAGTTACATGTTTAAAATGACAAAAGTAGATTCACAAAGTTAGACGATTCTAAGTCATGCATGACGCCCCGCCTCTCTCTGAGTATTTGCGATCTTCTATCACGGAAATGTACGGACAGGTATAATACCCGTCGCCTCACTCATATTTGTCAATAAAGTGAAGGAAAACACGGCGTCCATTCTAACTTTTTTTATTTCAATAAAAAGTCCAATATTATTGGTATCAAATGAAAGATTACTCCATAAGCTTTCTATGAGTGCCTCGGAAATAAAAATGAATTAAATAGATGTATGGAATTTTTAGGTTTTTTTACTCTGAAAATAACACTCTCGAATTTGTTAGAAAAACACGGCGTTCCCTCCAAACTTTTTTAAGTTCGTAATATATTTTGATAAGTTTTGATTGAAATAAAAGTGTGCTTCATACGATTTATGATATATAATTATATAATGCCTAAAAATAAAAATGAATTAAATCAAACTGAATTAACCTTCGTTAAAAAGTTTGTTACTTTTTGTAAAATAGAGAAAATAAGAATCCCTAAAGAACGCTCAAAACGACAAAATTGAGAATGTTGCAGGCCCGGTTTGATTGAGCCTGCTCATGGACGGTAATGGAAAGAGCAAGTTATCGTCCACGCCCCCTAGCACCGGCTTAAGCAAAATTCAACATGTACTGGTACAATTTTGAAACATCCGCAGATGTGTTAATATGGCGATTATCATGGAACCTTCAATGTGACAAGTAAGTGCCATACCATGAAAAACGGCATATGATCCCCAAGTAAAAAAAAACACACTCTGAAATTCAGTAAGAAAAAAACATGGCGCCCCCTACTTCCTTTTTTATTTCTTGGTCAATTTTGATAATAAACAAGATCATCAAGGAAAGGCGGCGGAAAATTACATAAGAATTGCAGATTCGGTTTGATTGAGTCTGCACATGAGGGATAATGAACAAGTGACGATTATCATGGAACCTTCAATGTGACAAGTAAGTGACACGCCCCCTAGCACCGGCTTGAACGGTACTCAATTCTCAACACTTAATAGCGCTGGCATCAATGATCCCGAAGGACCAGAAAAACACTGAAGTGAAGTACGGGGCAACTTTTTACAACTGCCACACGGCACTTGGCACCTGCTGTTGTGAAGTATTAAAATCTGGAAACAAAATGATCCCTCGGAAGCATTAATCACTACAAAATTACATAAGAATTGCAGACTCGGTTTGATTGAGTCTGTACATGAGGGATAATGAACAAGTGCAAAAAGTTTTTATCCATACTGAAAATACCGTATTAAAGATTGTACATATGTGCTACGGATAA